GCCGGGCCACCACGGGGCAGCAAGTGGCGCAAGCAGCCGTTTGGGGTCTGCGTTCCCCATGCAGCATGGGGGTGCTGCATGAGGAGCGCGAAGCCCAAACGGCCACTGTGCTGCTTGCTCCTGCACGGCGGCTCGGCTGAGTGGCGCAGAAGTCAGCCCAGTGCCATGGCGGGAGGCAACAGCGCCACCCAGAGGGAACAGCCAGCATTTCAGCATTACAGAGTTACAGACATTTGGCTACTATATATATGATTATTATTATTATTGTGTTTATGTGTGGTAACAGCAATGATGTGTTAGGTGCTTTCTAGACACTGAAGAAAGAATGGTTCCTTTCCTGAAAAACCCACAATCTAGGCCCATGTCTATACCAGGTGAGTTTTACAGTGATCCAGTGAGCGAAAGACACCATATTAATGTGATTTCCCACAAATACTATGAAAGGAAACACTGAAAGAATCTATTCCTCCCATGGAGTAAGGGCACCTCGCATTCACTATCATCGATAATGGCCAGTTCATCAGAAGATGAGATTCCACACCAAGTTTGTTTGTAGTGGTTTTCTGTTACCTTTCAATTTACAGTGGGTAGGTTTCAACTCATTTCTATGTTGTTCAGATCAGAACAACACTGCTTACAAATGTGTACTCTCCTAAAATAACACTGGTGTTTGACAAGGAAACAGCCTGTGTCATACTGAGCATAGTAGTCTGGAAGTACACATTGAGAGAGGCACTTTTCACCATCTAGTAACTGTGAAATGGATTTTAAAACATGCCTCGTGGGAGCTACCTTTGAGTGCAATGGCTGCCTCCCATGCATGGTTTGGGCTGGCAAATGCCAAATTTAATTCAAAATTTCCTTTCCAACTGCATTTTGTAGTTGGTTTGTGGTGATAAATATTTCATGTCATGTGCGCCTCCAGGCTATGTCTAGACTGCAAGCCTCTTTTGAAAAAGAGCGTCTAGACTGCAAGCAGTACTTTCGAAAAAGCAAGCCGCTTTTTCGAATGAAAGCAGCGAGTGAGTCTGGATGCTCTCTTTCTAAAAAGCCCTGTTGGCATTCAAGAACGCCTTTTTTCGAAAGAGCACTTTTGAAAAAAGGCGTTCTTCCTCGTGAAATGAGATTTACCGCCGTCGAAAGAAAAGCCACGTTCTTTCGATTTAATTTCAAAAGAACTCGGTTGCAGTCTAGACATAGGTGAAGTTTTTTCAAAAAAAGGCTACTTTTTTTGGAAAAACCCCTGAGTCTGGACCCAGCCCCAGACTGCAGGTCTCAGCAACATGGATGACAGTTTCTTTGTTCCTGTACTGATGTATTCCCCTGAAAGAAATAGGCCACAAGGGAAAAAAAGCTGTGGAAAAGCCAATCTAATGTACCCCAAGGCTGTGGAGCTGAGAGATCTCTTCTAATATCACCTAGTAAAAACAATATTGCTTTCCTGTAGGCGACAAAGCAAGCAGACTATAACAAATTGGGGCTAAAATGTGGCATTTTGCTACAGAACTGAGTAGGGGGCAGTGCACAGAAACACTACCCTATGAGGAATTTGGGGATGACTGGGGAGGAATCCTTCTCCAAATAGCTTGTAGTAGGAATGCAAAGGCTGCTCCATTCTCTGGGAGAGTGTTGGCTATTCCCTCCAGCATTTCTGTCCTGCACTGGGGACAGACTCATGTTATCATCAGCTGTTGTGCCAAGCTCACACATAGACTAACTGGGAGGGAGAGGAGGTAGGTGGCCTCCTGCCATATTGCTGCTTCCCAGATCCTGTGGCTGCTAATGGATGAAACAGCCCCAATGTAACTTGGAGAAACCTGAAGGCTAGTCTAAACTACACCACTGGAGTGGTTCTAAAGAGACACTGGGGTCACTCCACCAGCCAACACCGGCCACAGTGCTATTTGTTCCAGAGCCATTCCCAACATCCTGGCTACATAAGCAGCTGAGGATCAAAAAACTGGCTACAATGTCAATTCAACATATACAAATACCCACGGCTGTCACTCAGCCAGCTTTCTGCCTGCTTTGTGCTGTAAAATCAGTGAAAAGAAACTAGAACAAAGCCTGAGAATTTGACTGCAAATACTAAATACTTCCTAATTTACACTAGCATTAACAGGAATTAGCCCATAGAGTCCAACCTAAATCTTGGCAAAGCTAGTGTCATCTAAATGAAATGATAAATCAAACTCCAAAGGTGATATGAGCCCAAGATTTGTGTTGGGTTAAAATGCATCATCTTTCATAAGAACCGTGGAATGTCTTATATATGAAGACTCATAATCTACTTCTAGACTGTGTTAGGTTTCTTTGTTTTCTTATGCTATTGTTTTGCTGTGTGGCTTATTTTTCCCAATTCTGAATTTAACACTGGCCTGTGTCTGCAGTAAGTGACATTACCTGGAGGAATATGTAGTCATCTTGCACAGTCAAGGAATCCCGGTCGATGCTGCCAGCAAACTGGACTGTCAGTGTTTTATCAGAGCAATTCTGAATCTGACAGGTGATGTAGCGATAACCTGAGGGTAGAGGGAGAAACATTTTACAAGGGTTTCAAAGACAGAGAAGCAAACATCTTGAAATTCTGTTTGTGTAGGGGAAGCACAACATTCATCAGTATAGTCATCTATAAAATAATTACACCTACCCTCACACTGAAACCTTTTAACTGCCAAAGTTCTAGATGCACATTAACTACTGAATCCTCACCTCTCTTCTCAGAGGTAAAAAGGAATTTGCCTCATTTCATGGTGAGAAAAACTGAGGCCCAGAAAGAGTAAGGAACAGATGATGTTATAATTCCTAGTAAATGTTTTAGGATTTTCCTTGCAGATTAAAACATCTATTTGAAGGGTAAATGGCCTACATAAAAAGCCTATGCTGATTTTCACCAGCTGAGGCTATGACTCATAGTATTTGCACTGGCCCACAATATTTGGCCCTAATCACTTTTTCTTCTTCACAGAATGAGTCACCCAAGATGGGGTGCTGAGTGGGACTGGTAGCAATCCGTTCCCATCTAATGAATGGAGCAAAGTGCTCCCACCTACTATGTATATCAACCTGCTATGGAACAGAACTCCTCTTATGGTGGAGCCTTGCACATTCTTGTCCCACGTTAGGGCTCTGTGCACTGCGCACAGTCAGACCAGTCCTACAGGATTTGCCCATAACTATAAGGGAAATTTCTGTCTCCCAAGCCTGAGATAAGAACACTATACATCATTTCGCTTCCAGCAGAGTCTGAATCAGCAAAACTTTACCACTCGTCTGTTTCATCATTCCTGCAGTGTGAGAAGAAACTTATCTCCTATGACCCCCTTTGTCTTGATTTTTTTAGAGAAGGTCCAAATCAGAACATGAAATCCAAACAGTGCCAGACTTTTGGGACTGTTTTAAAATCTGGACCAGGATCTGAAGCTGCAGGACTCCACACTCTACTGCTTATCTCCAAACCATCTTCACAAGGAAATTGGAGCAAACACAGCAAAGTGCCTTCAACATTTCTTTAGTTATTCATAATTCACATGGACAAGCATGAAACCACTAAGGCCTCTAATCTAATAAAGGTACAAAGAGCTTCATCCTGCTTCCATTGATGTCAATTGCCAAATGTCTGTTGACCTCAACAAGGCCAAATAAAGCACTAAAGGACTCAGCCAGGAAATAAATGCATGTAAGAGAACAGTGTTCTTTTCTCAGATTCTTCTTTAGAAAATAAGTAAAACACACAAATTACTTGTGATGGTGCACTGAGGGAATCATACCAAATACACGTGGTTGAGCTTTCTCATTGAACTTAAGCAAATAGGTGATAAAATATCATTACACTGATGTTGTTTAATTAATAGCTATATTGCAGATGAGTTATAAAATCAAGAACCAAACATAATAGGTCCTGCTCTTGCCCCCTTTAAGTTTTGGAGAAATTTGTATTCCAAACCTATATGTGGACATGAATTTTGCAAATGGCCACTCTCTATATAGCCTTGATGGCGAATGGAATAGAGAGCCAAAACGCATAGCGTAATTCATATCTAATTAAAAAAAATACCAAGGGACAACTCCCTGACCCTTTTCTTCTAACTGTGGAGAGCCGCGGGTAAAATGGAAATTATTTCATCAGGCAAGTGGAGGTAAGAGAAAGTCTACCAGAAAAAAAAAAGCCAGCACTTCACAGAACCACTCTGAAATATTTTAAGAATCCATTAATCTAATAATAGGAATTATCACCACACAGCAATTTGAGGGTAGGGTTGGATGGAGGAGGAGTGAAGTCATGACAATGGATCTCCTGCCACATGTAAGCCTGACTGGCCACTGTCTTCTGAAGAACAGCTGCAGGGGCAAGAGAGGCTGATGTTGCATCAGGGGAGCGCTGCTCTTTCATTGAAATCCTAACAATATTCTTCTGAATGAATTCGAAATGTCCTTCCATCCAGCTCTTATGAATCTCCCCTCAGTAAGCCAACCTCCTATTCAGGAATTCATTGGGACCTGCAATTGCTCTGAGCTTTTGTGATCTCTGACCACCTGGATTTAGGAGCTGAACTTTAGGTACCAGATTCTTAGGGGTTGGTTTTAATTTTTCTTAGTGGTAAATGTAGGGGTATGGAGAAAGAGCTATCATGTTGAGAAAGGTTAAGTTATACACCCTTTACAATGTGTTTGTCAGCTAGGATGATCATCCACACAACTAAACCATCTTTCAAAGGTACTATTCCTAAGAAGGCAGCCACATTCCTAAGAAGACAGCCTCCAAAAACCAGCACACTTTGGTCCAGCAACATTGGGGGTCAGGCAGGACTACGGGTGCTCCTGGACCAGAAAACGTGGAGCCAAATGGCAGAAGAGCCAGAGGGGATGGGGCAACAAAGTCAGTAGCCTGGCTGTGAGCAGTGTGGAATGAGGGCCTGAGCCTCGCAGCAATCTCCAGCATCCCACAGCATCGTGGGGCCAAGGTCCGGGAGCACCGGGCTGAGGTCGGAGCCCCTAGGCAGTGCAGGGCCAGAGTCTCCTGGCAGCCCCCTGAAGTGTGGGGATGGGACCAGAGTCCCTTAGCTACTTCCTGGAGTACAGAGCTCCAGGGCTGGAGCTCCGCAGATGCTCCTGGATGTGCAGGGCCAGAGCCCTGTGGCAGGAGCTGGAGCATGTGCTGCCCAGGGAGCTGGCAGCAGCTAGGTAAGCAGCCCAGCAAGGCTTGGGGGCTGGAGGAGGCAGGATGCCTGCTGGAGAAGCCTACCAGCAGCAGGCAATGGGCTTGGAGGCCAGTGGCTGGAGACCTCCCCTGGTCCGGAAAATTTTCTTGTCTGGGATTGGTCAGGTCCCGATGGTGCCAGACCAGGGAGGTCCAACCTGTAATAACTTGTTTGTTTGTTTTAAAAAAACTATGCTGAATGTATAACACAAGGATTTTCTTGGAGAAGACTTAATTCAGTGGAACTGACATATGCAAGGATTCACTCTAGCAGACACTTACCCAACACTACATTGCACTGCCAGCTGTATTTGCAAATCGGGAAAAAATGTTCAACGTTTAAGTGCCAGAACAAATTGCACTATTAATGGGCTTTTTCACTGGAGCATAGCATCTTGACTTCAATTTATTTCAGAGTGGAAAACAAGTACATTTTAAATCATACTACATTTTTATATATCAGGACAGTTTTGCTGAATATATATAAACAGAGCAAGAATCTGACATGTGGAAAATGTTTCTTCCCACTGTTTTACAAATGAATACAAAAAGTATTCTTTAGAATCAAAAGAAATAGCCATAGACCAGGGTATCAACTGCTAAAACTTTCATTAGCATACCTCCACTGGGGTCCTGGATTTCCATATGAACCAAATCAGGGTCTCTGTCAATTCCAGCAACGGCCCTGAGAACATAATATAATTAAGTTATCTTGGGTCTGCTACAGGCATAATAAGTACATGGATAGAAAAATAGAAAGATTTTGTATGACACTGTTCCCACATCCTATTTGGACATTTAAAATAAATCCCATTTATAATTTTAGATTACTAACATTTTGATGGAAATCAGACATTTCTTGTTCTCGGTATTATGCTTTGCTTTTTCTGTTTTTACTAGAATCTCCATTATTGGAACACACATACAACCAGGATATACAATAAGTTCAACTGGGGAAAGGGACAGAAATCAGTGGGGAACAGTAAATAACACTCTGTCATTCTGTGGTAATCCCAATTTAATCCTTTCCTAATTTTATAATTATACAGTACTTAATGTTAGCACATCCTCTTTTACAACTATCTCTGACATTAGTGACCGGAGGAAAGATATATTACTAAGAAATGTGCAGAGTTATTTTTGTATTAGAAATCTTCTAATCCTGACAGAGCCACTGTCAGTTATACACGTGCACTGGAACTATAGATTCTATTTTGACAAAGCAATTTAAAAATGAGGAACAATTTTCAGAGGGAAATCCTGAGAATGAAATTTAGTTGGAACTCAAAGGATATTTTAACTTATAAAACTTATAAAAAAAATTACAGAGATATCCAGACTGATTCCCTCAGAATAGATCCAGCATCAGATTGGTTCAGTCAAACGCTGATTTTTAGCCCTCAGAACTTTTATCATAATCCAGGATTAGAAAATGAAATGGTCGTATTTCTGCCTCTTACATTATTTGCAAGGAAGATTCTGTTAGGAAAATTTTGGGGACAATTCTGATGACCCTAAACCCAGCAAAGCAGAATCCAATTCACACTCCCACATCTGCAGTGGCTTTTTCAAGGCCAACCCTAGTAAAATAAAAGAGCCCATAAAATCAGCAGACATGACAAAGACAAAGAGAGAAAATAAATGGACTAAGAAAGTGCAATTTAGATTTTTTTTTAAACCCACTAAAATACGTAAAGCAAATGATGACTTTGAAATGGTTAGTAACAATAAAGAGCAATAAAGGACATTTTATTTTGAACAGACATAATTGTTTAATGACTGATTGATTAGAGGCATTGATGGGATTGTCTTAAGGCTAAAGATTAAGGATCAGAGGCAGTATGATGGAGTGTATCTACCTCGGACCAGGGTTAACTCTGCTTTGCAGGATGAGGAAGCCCCACATCTCTGAGTTTGCTGACATGCTCAGCCTGTAGGCACAGTATAAAAGGAAGCAGAACAGCTCAGTCTGGGCAGCCTGCTGAGGTGGTAGGATGCAAACTGCAGACTCTTTCCAGTGAACTGCTACAGGCTCCAACTATAGAGCCATGGCATGCAGAGCAACAGATGGACTCCAGGCTGCCTGATGAAGAGATAGCACTGGAGGGAGCTATGCCAGCTGAGGAGCCCAGAGACCTGCAGAACCATGGAGCATTGCGAAGGGAGAAAGGGTAGAAAGCAACCCAGGGACTTCTCTGGTAAGTGAATTGGGGCACCAGTCAGTGCGTTCTGGGAGGA